TGACACCCCTTTATTTTCCCATGTTTATTATCTTTGACATGTCCATAGTTTAATACTGCCTTTATATACCCCTTTCTGTGGTGTGTTTAGTTCAGGTTTTTTCTTAGGCAACAAAAAATAATTCTTAAGAAATAATCCACAATTATAATGCGAAGGGAAATAAATCAGTCAGAGAAACACAAATACAAAATGATTTCACTCATACGTGGAATTTAAGAAATAAAAGAAACGAACAAAGAAAAAAAGAGACAAACCAAAAAACAACAACAACAAAAAACAAACAAAAAGCAAAAACAGACTCTTACCTGTAGAGAACAAACTGATGGTTACCAGAGGGGAGGTGGGTGGGGGGATGGGTGATATAATGATGGGGATTAAGGAGGGCACTTGTCATGATAAGCACTTAGTGATGTATAGAATTGTTGAGTCACTCTATTGTACAGCTGAAACCAATATAACACTGTATGTTAACTATAGGAGAATTAAGATTAAAACAAAATGAAACAAATCAAAAACAAAAAAAGAAGTAAACCACAATGGTATTTTAACCATATTTCTTTTGCCAGAATACATTATACTTTTCTCCTATGCCTTCCTTAAAGGATGGGCTATGAGATGTCATTCCCCCATAACTATACCAAAGTTATTATCCATTTAAAGATAATACTTTGGGCAGTATGACTCTGACACTAATTCAGATGTGTGGGTGCTTTTCCCAACCACTAAGAAATTCTCAGACAGCAGCTGGGTGTTCTATAGTTCAACTTACTGCTGACACTGTCTCCCTAGAGATACCACCAAATCCTGCCGGTTAAGGGCTCCTTCCTACAAGACTGCTCCCCATCTCCCCTTCACACACCAACTGCAAGTCCAGGTTGTCACCTGGGCTTCTGATCACCTTGCTATTGGAGGTTTCCATGACCTTCTCCTTGAATTCTGGAGAGGCTCACAGAACTCAGAGAAACATTTTACTCACTAGATTACTGGTTTGTTATAAAAGGACACTCAGGAACAGCTAGTTGTAAGAGATGCAAGGGCAAGGTATAGGGCAAGAATGTAGAGCTTCCATGCTCTCTCCAAGTTCACCACTCTCTCCAAATCTCCATGTGTTCACCAACCAGAAGCTCTCGGAATCCCATCCTTTGGGGTTTTTATTGAGGTTTCCTTACCTAGGCACGATTGATTAAATCACCGGCCTTTGGTAATTGAACTCAATCTCCAGCCACTTTCTTCTCCCTGGAAATCAAGGGGGTAGGGCTGAAAGTTCCAACCTTCTGATCACAAGATTAGTTCTCCTGGCAACCAGCCCCCATCCTTAGGTGCTGTAGGGGTTTTCCCAAATTGACCTCATCAGCATAAACTCAGGTGTGCTTGAAAGGGGCCTGTTATGAATATCAGGGTGTAGGTTTGCAACTAGCATATGGAAAATTAGCAAAACCCGAAGTCTTAATTAACATTACATCAGCAACAGCATGTGGTGAGGAAAACAAATAGCCTTTGTTGTTAACAAAATCCCTACACCAGGAAACCCCATTTCTACTCATTTTTCTCTTTAAAGAGGCAATGTGGTATCATGGGGGTAAAAACCAACCTTCTGGGTATGGAGTTCTGGGCCCATAGCCATCTCTGGTGCATCTTGTAAAACAGCCAGATTTTTCCCCGGGGAAATGGATATATTGGACAGCAAGCTGATGCTCAAAGTGTGGGACTCATTAGAATTGAACTAAATAGTGAAAAAGAAAAGTCCCCTACTAATTCTTTTTAGTCCTCTGGTTGTAATAAAAAGAAAGGTGCAGTTTAGTGTTAATAATGGATCCTTAACATTTCCCTAAATTTGCCAAAATGTCTTTTTAAAAATCCTCTTTGTAAAAAAAATCTCTTCTTTTCTCAGTTCAGGAGTGTATGTATGTATGTATGTATGTATGTAGGTAGGTATATGTTTACTTATTTATTTTAAATAGTTTTATTCAGGTCATAATTGCAGTACAATAAACTGCACATACTTAAGTGTACGACATAAATATTGACTTAGGAATACACCTATGAAGCCACCACTACAATCCAGAAAAATCAACATATCCATCCCCTCCAAAAGTACCCTCCTACCTCTTAGTAATAAGTATGTACCTCACTGAATTTTCAGAAACTGAACGTACCTCTGTGAGCAGTATGCAGAGCCACAGAGCCCAGGAGCCCTCCTTCCAGCCCACCTTGTGATTCTGTAGCCTTTAAATGCCAGTAGCTCAGGTCTGCTACTGACCTGACCCCAACTCTCCCCCTAGCCCATGTCTGCTAAGTGCCACCCAGCTGTGCTGTTGAGTTAGGCTGTTGGAATTCAGGTTGGGGCTTCATCTGCCCTGGGCCAATTACTTAGCCTCACTCTACCTTATCAGTAAAATGGGTACAATAACAGTATTTATCTCATAGGGTTGTCATGGGGATTAAATGAGACAATCTTTGTTCTTAGAGCTAGAAGTTAATTTAGAAACCAGGCATGTTAAGTATACAGCTTTTTAAAAGCTGTATGTTTTTCTGCAGTCTTTCACGTTCTACTTAATAGAAAAGATTCCTGAGGTTCTGGCCTTATCTTTCTTTCGGCTTGTCTGAGGAGAGGTGGGAGGAAGTACTGTGTCAACATGGATTCTGGAGGAGCCTGGCACACAGTTGGTGCTCAATAAATGTTTACTGGTCACCCTGACTTAAAAACATGGTCTTTATGAAGAGATAGCTAAACCCCTATTTTCTCTAGTTATGGCTCATAAGTTTGGTGAAAAGGCCACCAGTTACCCACAAGGACCAAAGAAGCCTGAGCAAATGTCTCCTGGTTGCTAGGAATGCAATTCTTCTTCTTCTTCTTCTTTTTTTTAAAGATTTATTTATTTATTTTAGAGAGCAGGGGAGGGGCAGAGGGAGAGAGAAAATCCTCAAGCAGACTCCCTACTGAGCACAGAGCCCAACATAGGGCTGATCCCAGGACCCTGAGATCATGACCTGAGCTGAAATCAAGAGTCAGCAACTTAACTGACTGAGCCACCCAGGCGCCCCTCTGGGAACGCAGTTCTGCTCTGCTTTACAAACTGTGTGACCACCAGGTTTCTCCAAAGTTGTTTTTCCGATTCTAGGTAAAAATGGAGGCATAGGGCTAGTACACTGTCTTGAGGGTAAGAGTGTAAAATGGAATCAGCGCCATTGTGCTGGTAACATGAGATGTTCATTTGTGAAAATTCATCAAGTTCTGCACTTTCTTTTTTAAAATTGTAGTATAATTTACATATATTAAAATGTACAGATCTGAAGTGTTTAGCTTGATGCTTTTTTACTTGAACTTACAACCATGTAACCCTTACCTAGATCAAAATATAGGATATTTCCATCACACCTGCAAGTTCCCTTTCCTGTTCCCCATATGTAAGCGCTTTTCTGATTTCAATCACCATAGACTTACCTGTTCTTGAACTTCATATAAATGGAATCATATAGTATGTATTCTTAGAGTATGTGTATTAGAGTTTTCACTCAACGTAATGTATTTTTTTAATAATTTTTTTATTGTTATGTTAACCACCGTACATTACATCATTAGTTTTTGATGCAGTGTTCCATGATTCATTGTTTGTGCATAACACCCAGTGCTCCACGCAGAATGTGCCCTCTTTAATACCCATCACCAGGCTAACCCATCCCCCCAGGCCCCTCCCCTCTAGAACCCTCAGTTTGTTTTCAGAGTCCATCGTCTCTAATGGTTCGTCTCCCCCTCTGACTTACTCCCATTCATTCTTCCATCCTGCTATCTTCTTCTTTTTTTTTCTTAACATATATTGCATTATTTGTTTCAGAAGTACAGATCCGTGATTCATCAGTCTTGTGCAATTCACAGTGCTCACCATAGCACATACCCTCCCCGATGTCTATCACCCAGCCACCCAATCCCTCCCACCTCCCACCACTCCAGCAACCCTCAGTTTGTTTCCTGAGATTAAGAATTCCTCATATCAGTGAGGTCATATGATACATATCTTTCTCTGACTGACTTATTTCACTCAGCATAACACCCTCCAGTTCCATCCATGTTGTTGCAAATGGCAAGATCTCATTCCTTTTGATGGCTGCATAATATTCCATTGTGTATATATACCACATCTTCTTTATCCATTCATCTGTCGATGGACATCTTGGCTCTTTCCACAGTTTGGCTATTGTGGACATTCAACGTAATGTTTTTGAGATTTATCCATTTTCTTACATGTAGCCATAGTTCATTCCTTTTTATTATTGATTAATATTCCATTGTATGAATGGATTGGTTTGTTTTTCCATTCCACTTTGATGGACATTTGGGTTGTTTCCATTTTAGGCTATTGTGAATAAAGTTTCCATGAACATTTATGCCCAAATCTTTTTGTGTCCATACATTTTCGTTATTCTTAAGTAAATATCTAGGATTGGAATGCTGGGTTATAAAGTAGGTGTACATTTCCCCTTATCAGAAGCTACCAGTTTTACAAAGTGGTCGTACCATCTTCCACCAAGGATGTATAAGAGTTCCAATAGCTCCATATCATTACCAACACTTAATATTTTCAGTCTTTTTGAAAGGTGTATATTGTGTGCAATTCTCTATGTATACACATACTTCAATAAAAAGTTGAAAAATTAAACCAACAATAAAAATGATGGTGGTTGTGTTTAATGCTGAAACTGAAAATTTAAATCAATCATCTGGCTGTTTTGTTGGCACCTGCCAGGAATCCAGTGACTGAATGTTGCCCTATTTAATTGATGCATTTTTAATTTTACAGTGTGCAGAAATATTTAGTGGTACATCCTTATTGGTGGTCGGGGTAACATTATTTCTAAATAAAAGAGTCTCCCCAAATGTTTGTTGAGAAATCTTTTTACCTCCATTTCCAACTAAAAAGGATTTTAGTTTTGATAGGAGGACTTATGATTGAAAATATTTTGACAGGAGCTGATTGCTTTCTTCTTCTTTCCCATTTCAGAGCATAAGTGTCCAGTGGATGAGCGGGAGCAGCTGGAGGAAACCTTGCCCCTGATTTTGGGGCTCATCTTAGGCCTCGTCATTGTGGTAACACTGGCGATTTACCATATCCACCACAAAATGACAGCCAACCAGGTGCAGATCCCTAGGGATCGATCCCAATATAAGCACATGGGCTAGGCAGCCCCCGAGACCCCCTCCTCCAGCTGGATCAGGGAGAGAAACAAAAGCACTTTTCCACCTTGTACATGGGATACACCAACATAGCTACAATGCAACAGGCCTGGGTGTCCAAGGCTTGCTTGGCCTGCGTCCATGCTTAAATCCAGGGATGGGGGGGATTCTTTTGGATTCATGGGTGAATGGCAGATATTCTCTCCACACTGGGGAATGAGGTGGGAGGGGTCAGCCAGCTTTCATGCTCATGGTGGCTTGGCTTTGACTCTCCAAGGAGCAACACATACGACTCAGAGGAGTATCTGGCTCCAAAGTTTAGGGATGGAAAGACACCCCTTTAGGTTCAGAGAAAAAGGGGGTGCTTTGGTCCCTTGGCCTACCTTATTCAGTTGTCAGTGCATTCAAAATACAGCCTCATGCTCCCTATGGCAAGACCCTTGAAAGTGATCCATGCTTCTGGCTGGCATTCTGCATGTCTAGTGATTGTCTTGGGAATGTTTCACTGCTACCTGCCCCCAGTGACTTTGCAGCACAGAACCTGTTTAATGTAACTATGCACAGTTGTTTGGACTTCATAGTACGTCAGGTCCAAGTAAGGGGACCTGAAGAATCAATTGTGTGAGCTTGTTTTTCAAAATGAATTAAAACACACTACTGTCTAACATTTGCCTGCTTTCTTGAAACAAGAAAACAACACTAAAGTGGTTTCTTTGGCACCCAGAGAAGAGAGGGGAATGGTGAAGATGGGCTTTCATTTCTGCAAGAGGAAAGCAAAGAAAGGGCAGGGAAGCCAAAAGAGGGAGGTTGGTTTTTTCCAGGTAAAAAAAAAACAACAAAAAAACAAAAACAAAACCGTGGATTTATTTTGACAAATATAGTTTTAATAATGGCCCCTCTTGAATGACTAGCCTAATATTGCTTCTGATGCTTCCTGGTTTTGAGTTTGGCATTTCACTTCAGATTAAAAAGCTGGTCTGAACATGGGAGCCTAGGTTGAGTTGTGTTTGAAGTAAAACAGAATTTGCTGAAACTTCCTAGAGAAATGGACAGAGTTTGAATTTCACTCACTTTCTAAATAATCATTTTTCTGAAAAATCTGAGTCAGGGTAGGGGAAATCCTTTTCTCCGATGTTAAGGGTGGGACTCTCCCCACCCCCCATATGATCTCTATCATATGAGAGACAGCTTATAAGTTCATCTCCCCAAGTCTTCAACTGCTGAAAGAACGCATCCTTAGAAGTTCATTATCTCAGCAAATCTTGAGAAGTATCGGCCAATTGCTGTTCTATTACCTGTTGGTTTGCTGCCACTCTGTCAGTCTGTCAGTCTTTTTCCCCCGCAAGATCTCTCTCCAGTGTCGGCCTGCCTGGTACCAGGGAGGAAGACAGTTGCAGGTTGCACAAGGAAAAGGAGATACCTTGTATCAGCTGCCATCTTTTCACCCCATGCCCCGAACTTGACAAATTCTTTCCTTGTTAGCATCTCATATATCTTTTAAAAACTTCCTATTTATTTGGAACCACCCAAGAATTTGGGGGAGAAACGGACACTTAGATGTATCAGTGAGTTACCCTTGTCCTCTGCACCCCCTTCGCAAAAAATATTGAGACCTGACTCATATTTCTAAATACTCCATATTTCCTTAACTTACTTTTATAAAAGTAAATTTGTGTCTTTAAAAATTTCACTTTCACAAAACATAGGACTCATGATTAGTTTTGGAATTGTCATCCACCCATTTATTCAACAAACAGGTTTTGAGCACCTACTGTGCGTAGGCTCCGTGCCGAGTATACAATAGTGAAGTGACAACTTAGAGTCTATGGGGTATGGCTGACAGACATATGTCCCCAGGTTTTTCCAAAAAGAACAAGTGCCCTGGCTCTTTTTCCAGCGTTGTCACATGGCCACATCCCTGTGGTTAAGCGGATCAATTAAATCTTTCCAGAATCCAACTTTCTTAATTCTCAAATTTCAGTGGTTTTTCCCCTTGCGATATGCAGTCTGTATATAAAGCCACATCACCATGACTATTATTGCTATTAATCACAGCATCTTTATCTAGTTGTCCTAAAATTAGGTCTCGAGCTCAGCCTAATTTCTTTGAACCTCGCCTTATTTCTCTCAGTCCTGCCTTCATCTTATCAACTAAGCAGAATAAAGGGGAGCCTCGGGGTCAGGGCATGTGCAGTGGTCCCTGGGTGGAGAACACAAGGCGTCCAGAGGGACTGACTCAGCCCCGGGTCTCAGCCTGGGCTCCTCTCATGGCCATTCCCACTGTCCTGCATTTCACGGCTGCCCCTGTGCCTGGGGCAAGCTGAGATGGTGGCTCATGTCTCCGCATTGCTTCTCAAGCTCAGAGAGGAGAGAGAAAACAAACAGACAAACCACAGATGCTCAATTACCCCCTTAACTGTCATTTTCTTTTTTTACTGCAGTTTTAAACACAAATGCCTCTGGGCACAAAAGGATGCTGTGTCTGGTTGCTAGTTGGCCTTCCTGGAAAAGCCAGGCCAGATGAACCAGATGCAGATTTCTTTGGGGGCGGGGGGGAGGGTGAGTTTGATTTAAATTCTGAGCGCATTTCTTTGCAAGATTCCCCCATTCTCAGGATATAGGTCCCAGTGAAGCTGCCTCAGTGGGTAGGGGAGATTTTGTTCTCCAGCCTGAGAAAGTCCTCTAAACTATTAACCACTCTCTTCTCACGGATTGTCCAATCTTTTTGTTAACAAAGACCTGGCAAAGCCGAGTAGGTACGGGAGACAGTAGAGAAACACAAATGGAGAAATGGGTTGGGGCGGGGGGCACGGAGGTGGTAGGAGAGACCAGCAGTGTCTGGTCTGAGGGGGTGTTTCCCTGGGGAGGTGGTCCAATCTGGCACTGGGCACAAACACTTCCCTGGAACAGACACCTGAGTGACCGGAACCAGGCAGATGTAGCTTTAAATCAGCAAGTATCCAAGGGCAGTTTGCAAGCAGCATGCATCAGAGTCCTCCCAAGGGGTCATTGAAAAACATCAGTTCTAGGGGCGCCTGGGTGGCTCAGTCAAACATTGGACTTCAGCTCAGGTCATGATCTCAGGGTTCTGGGATGGAGCCCCGCTCCAGGGTCTCTGATCAGCTGGGAGTGGAGTGTGCTTGTCCCTCTCCTGCTGCCCCTCCCCCTGCTTGTGCTCTCTCTCTCTCTCTCTCTCTCAAATAAACCAATAAAATCTTAAAAAAAATAAACAAAAAGAAAAACATCAGTTCTAGAGCATCATCCCAGACTGATAGGGGATCTCTCTTGTGAGACCTAGAATCTGTAGTTTTATTATGCTCCCCAGTAATTTTGATGCAGCGGGATGAAAACTGGTGAAAAAGCCTTTGCTCTCAGCCTACCTGCAACACTAGGCACATCATCAGTCTTCTCTGTGCTCTCTAATCTAAAAATGGAACTTGCTCCCCCATCCTTGCAAAGTTATCTGAGGATTCATGACAGTACATTCAAGTCCCTAGCACAATACCTGGCGCCCTGGAAATGCTCCACAAAATCTAGTATTAATGACACGTTTTCTAGCACAATTCTTAACATGTGAATTCAAAGTTCACCTGACATCCAAGTTCAGGAAAGATCCAAAGGGACTGATGCAGGGATTTTTAACTGCATCCACAGTTTTCCACACCAGTTTATTGTGAATTCAGAATATGTTTCTATGCAGGGACTCCCCTACCCGCCACAGACCAGTAAATCACTCAGGGTCGGGGGGATGTTAATTTACAGGGGTGGGGGAGACTATCAGAGTCCATGGACTGGGATGGGAAAAAACTACATCTTTAGTTTTTACCAACCTCAAATGAAAGGTAGCATTTCCTTCAATTACAGACATAGGCACCAAACCACTATGGTACAGGCAAGAACTATGTCATCAGTAGAAATCGCTGCATTACACCTGTTGGAGATATCTCAAAAAATCACATAGGCTCATTACTTTGAAATTATGGTAGTTACTAGACCCAACATAAGATCTTATTAATTTAAGAGTCACCTGGGTGGCTTGGTGGGTTGAGCATCTGCCTTAGGCTTGGGTCATGATCCCAGGCTCGTGGGATCAAGTCCCACATCAGGTTCCTTGCTCAGTGGGGAGCCTGCTTCTCCCTCTGCCTGCCACTCCCCCTGCTTGTGCTCTCTCTCTCTGACAAATAGATAAAATTTTTTAAAAAGATCTTGTTATTTAATACATTATAACTACAAAATTAAAATATTTTGATAACTATACTTCATTTGGTTCCCTTTGTATTTTACTTTATGCATATAAACACATTTTCTTGAAGAGTCCACAAGCCAAGGGGGTCCAGGGTACAAAATTAGGCTAAGAACTCCAGGGCTAATGTCTACTTCAGTTGTCCTGTGAAGTGATATTTATATCACCTCACACCTGTTAGAATGGCTATCACCAAAAGATAAAGTGTTGGCGAAGTGAAGGAAAGGAAACTCTTGTGCACTGTTGGTGGGAACATAAGTTGGTGCAACTACTGTGGAAAAGCGTATGGAAATTTCTCAAAAAATTAAAATTGAAATGTCATATGATCCAGAAATCCTACTTGTCTGTTTATCCCAAGAAAATGAAAACATTAACTTGAAAAGATGTCTGCACCACTATGTTCATTGCAGCATTATTTACAGTAGCCAAGATCCAAAAGTTACCTAAGTGTCCAATGACAGATGAATGGATAAAGGAAACATATCACACACACACACACACACACACACACGTATTTCTCAGCCATAAAAAGGGAGGAAATCCTGCCCTTTGAGACAACATGGATGGACCTTGAGGGCATTATGCTTAGTGAAATATGTCAGACAGAGAAAGACACTCACTTATATGTGGAGTTAAAAAAAAAACCCAAGTTGATAGATCAGAGAACAGGTTGATGGTTGCCAGCCAGAGGCAGAGGATTGGGGGTGGGTGAAATGGATGAAGGGGTCAAAAGGTACAAACTTTTTCTTATTTTTATAAAATAAATAAGTCCTGTGAGATAATGTACAGCATGGTGACTATGATTAATCATACTGTATTATGTATTTGAAAGTTGCTAAGCATAAATCTTCAAAGTTTTCATAAGGAAAAAAATTGTAACTATGTGTGTTGATAGATGTTAACCAGACTTATCATTCCACAACATATACATATAGCAAATCATGTTGTACACCTGAAACTAATATGTCAATTATCTAAAAAAAAAAAAAGTGACTGAACTTGTCAGTTTGTCTGCTGAGGAAGGGTTCACAAAGACTCATATGACCAAAGAGATAACAAGTATTTGTTAGCACTGACTGACCATGGGTTTTCTAGACCTTGGTCTGGGTGATGAGGACATATCAGTGAACAAAATAGGGATAAAGCCCCTGCCCTAATAGAACTGAAGTCTCTCTCCATGTGTGTGTGGTCTATTCAGGTAGTATGATTCATCTACTGACATTGCCTAACTTTGGGAGCCTTGGTTAGCTCAGTTAAGATGGATCATATAGGATCTTGGAGTCTCTTCTAGCTTTAAATTTTTTCAAATGCTGACAATGATGAGGCATACTTACCAAAGCATTTGCTACATGTGCAAACCTTTCAGGATAAGGAATCCCTTTGCTTTTGAAACAGTGTATTTTGATCCAGAAATCGGCAACC